CTCTTTCCCCTATGGAATAAATCAATGTTTAATGCCCCGGAAAAGACATTTCATGCCTAAATGAAAATCTTGTTAAATTGTATTAATTATGACTTGGAGCACATCGCAGCCCCATGTGTCTTGTATTTGCGATTAGGGATTCGTGTCTTATCAAATATCTAATTAATCTCCGAGACATCTTTTGTTCAGTTTCACTTTATTGGGGGGTTTCCAAGGGGGTTTGATGACAAAGGTCCCTGAATATTTATTCTAATTGTCCAAATTAACTGCTTTCATTTGCATACCAATCGATGGACCGCGAATAAGGATATGGCTTCTTTCTCTTTGCCAGAAATCACATAGATGTTATGGGAACAGTTTTTTAAACTTCAGGAAAAAAAAAGAGAGGGTGGGGGGGCAAAGAGTCACATGCAAATGTTGAATTTGAAATGCTCTTTGCTCAGCGCAGTCAAATGGTGCTTGCATGTTATTTGAATATCAGTGGCCCCGTATTGAAAGGGTTCAAGGATGCTCTCTGACTTCTTTGTGTTTACCCAGTGCAGCGTCCGATTCTCAGAGAAAAAGCCGGGGAATAATTACAGCGTGAGCCCAGGACTGGGAATACGTCAGGGAAAAGCATCTCATCCAGACACTCTCTCTTTTTCGAAGAGGATGTTAAATTGACCAGAAGGCAATAGAGGGGAATTATTTTCATTTCCTTTTGTGCAACAGCGGCTTCAAGAAAACGGCCAGATAGTGAAAACTATCAAATTGGATTAGCAATTTGAATTTCATCAAATACAGGAAGACTACTGCAACAAGACCTGAATAAAAAATGTTAAATTTTAAGTTATTAGTTGAATTGACAAATTACTTTTATTTCAGATGGATATTTCAAAGATAAAATTAAATTTAGATAAAAAATGTTTTAGATTTTGGAGTCTGAGGGTGTCCAATAAAATATATTTGTTTGAAAATGTAAATAACAGGAATGCATTCTTTATTTAGGTGGTTTAAAATGATTTTTAAAATTCTGTAGCATGTCAAATTATAAAATGCAGGTCTGCATTAATCAAAAATAGTGTGCTCTTTAGGCTGTATTTATATTTATATGCTGGATATTTGGACAGAAATCATATCCTTGAGTTTGAAGCCCATAAAAATCCAACAGGAGGTATTTCACAGCTTTAGGGAAAACTCACATTTTGTCACGTTCCTCAGGAAAACCGGCCTGACAATAAAAATATTATGCGCAAAAGCGTAATATTTGCCACCAGGTGTCCAGACAATTTAGCCCTCAGTGGGAATACACTAACAGCAGTGAAGCAACAGACATGGTCACGTCTTCATCTGCCAACAGATCTGTCATCCTTCATTTCATCCATCACAAATAAACACATAAACATAAATTTAATCAGGAAAAAAGCCGTTTTTTTTTATCAGGAATTAACAGCCATCTAAGCACTACAGTCTACAATGTCAATATCTCTAAAAAGACACAATAATGAAATAAGGATAAAAACCGCAGGAGCAGAAATATACAGCACCCAGCTGACCATGAAAATGAATCCAATATCTTCTCATCAACGAATCATAGCTGCAAATTGCTTCCAATGGTAATCAATTAAATCAGACCTTTTCATATAGTACAAGACAACACAAAAGAGCAATGAGCTGCATCTAGCTATTTTGTGTGTGCTGCTTCCCTCTACTGGAGGAAAAGGAAACTAGTGCACAATACCTGCAATTTGATTTTAAATAGAGGGAGTCTGTGATTACCAAGACTTAACTGATATTGCAAAAACATTCAGAACATTTTATGTTTGCTCTATGTTGTGTGAGGGAAAAGACAGTGTAAAAAGAGTCAGGGCTTTCTTTTAGCTCGATTTTGACTTCTATCTCTGCTCCTACTTCTTCCTCTGTCCTCCCCTTCTTTCCTCTTCTCCCTGCTTCTGCTCCTCCCATCTGCTGTTCCTTCCGTCTGTGTGACTTCTGTTCCTCTCACCATCTCTGCTGTGCTGCCTGTCTTTACCTCTGTCCTCCCTGCCTCTTTCACGGCTCCTACTTCTGTACATGCCAGACTTGGGGCAGCCATGTCTCTGCCTGTCCCTGCTGTCGTGCCTCTTTCTCTCTTGACCTCCCTCCGGCTTTGTCTTGTTCTCCGGGCTGTGATTTCGACTCCTGCTCCTTCCCCTCTTTGTCCTTGTTTGTGTATAATCTCTGGACTCCTCTTCAGGCCGCTTCTGTCCAGCGTGAGGGCTCAGTGACCGGCTCCTGTGAGAAGAGGCCTTTTTCTGACTCTTGACTCGTCGCTCACTCTCAGAGCTGTTATCTCGACAGGAATCTTTTTTCTTATTCTTCTTTCGTTTTTGGCTCTTGAACTTGCCATGGCTGTCTGAGTCTGAGCCACTATCGCCGCTGCTGCTGTTGGAGGGGTCACTTGAGCTGTCACTACTTTCATGCTTTTTCTTGTGTTTTCTTTTGCTTTTCTTCTTCTGTTTTTTGCTCTTCTTTTTCTTGGCCTTCTGCTTTTCCAGGCGATCAAGTTTTCTGTGCGACAGGAACACAAACAATCCACTTATATTCTGTAACAAGGCAGCAGAAAAGTAATCTAACAATCTGATATGAAAAACTAGATGCACTTTCCCTTTTAACACCAGATACATTTTATTTTTAATTCAGAACAAATTTATATGTATATATAAAAAAACCACAGTAAACTTGTAGTTCATCAGATCAGGATTTCCAATACAAGTCTTAAAAAATTCTAACCATGTTAAAGAATATAATTGCTTAATTAGGGCTCAATAATCAATGCAGCTCAACTCCTTTAAGTTTTCATACATAAAATGTAAATTGTGCTACAGTTTTACCTGAGGAGCTTCTGCTTTTGCTTGGTCGTTAATGACTTCAGAAATTCCACCTCGGGATCGTCCTCTTCATCGCTGGCAACGTATTCCTGTTAAAGTACGCAGCAAATTTTAATTTATATTGAAATCAAAGCAACAACGTACAGACAAATACAAATCTCAAATGCAAACCTGGGGAAGTCTATGAGGTGAATATGTTTAAATAATAAAATTTCTTTTATTATATCTGTTCACTTGACATACTTTGCCCTAAAAACTCCTCAAAGTGCAGCATTTATATACTGTATTCTAGCCATGAATATATTTATTCTTTTCTTTCTGAAGGGGAGAATGTGTGTGTGTGTGTGTGTGTTTGTATATCGACATATGTGTGCAGAGATCTGAGCGCGAGACAATTACCTGTGATGGATCACCAACTGTATCATTCCTATCAAGGACACATTTTTTCAGAGCAAATCCACTGTTTCGCATCTCTGCCATTAACTCCGAGGGGTGCATCGACGGACCTGTTAGCACAAATCACAGCCTCAGAGTCCCATTGATGTCAAACCCATGCCAACCACTATCTCCACAGTGGGAATTTCAGGGGGGTGCTTTGTTAACAGAATGGGACATCAAATCAACTCACTCCACTTCCGGCTGAGCAAATCATACAATATCATTCTCTGCCAAAGCAGCAGTTAAGGGAATCAGAATACACAATAATTACATTTTTTCTCCCGGCACAGGAGGGGGACCATTACAGCCCTCCACCATCAAAGCCATGCACTGACTGGACTCTCCCTGGGTAAACATTATTACTTTACTACTCAACTCGCTGATTACAGAACTCAGAATCAGCTCAAGACTGGGAGCTCCAGCTGAAAGCCAGGAGGAAAGATACAGCAGGTGTACCGGCTGCAAAGACAAAGCTGACCCACTGGCCACAAGTATCAAACAGTACAGATAGTCTGGATTCCTCTTCTTCTGTACACACATAAAACTCTACTGTTTTTTAAATTGCATAACAAACAATAAGCATGTTTAGCAGACATTTTCCAGGAACTAAATTTTGGAAGGCAAACTGCATTTATATGAATTAAACTTGTAATGATTACTTATTCTAACTGATTGGAATATTTATGGTACCATTAACATGTGCTTATCTGCTGATGTTTATTTTAATTAAATATGATAAAATTAAACTCTGCATATAAAATCACAGTGGCTTGTTAACATTTAACTGAACATGTCTGTGCTCTACCTGCTGTCTCCTCTGAGGCCACAGAGCTGGCGTTGATGCCCGACAGCCCATAGAGAGGACACTCTCTGTCTGTGTTCACATGGCCCCATTTGTGACATTTGATGCATCTTACGTTTCGCACCTGGAAAGTTAGATACATGCATAACTTAAAAAAAAAATGCATATAATTGATGTATTGTTTTAAAAATGGTGACAAAAACAGAACTATAAGGCAACAGACATTCCATTAATGTATTGGACTTTACATTCACAAAAAGTTCCGGTTTTATTTCTGAAAACTTGTATAATTTATAAAAAGTGTATTTTATAATATTTGTAGCTTCTCATTCCGGAAAACAAATTCTGGTCCACACGCAACAGCTAGTCACAGCGTATGGCTTTAGTGCAGACGTGTTGCAAGTATTGCAACCAAAGCTTGACTTTTACTTTTCCAGTGGTTTCACTTGTAAGAGTTTAAAGACCTGAAGAGATTAAAGGACCCAGTTTTTTTTACAAGACAAACACACCAAGTTTCATTCTGTTTAACAGACACTGCATGTTTGGTTTCTTATTTATTTCATCAGCCTCTGCTTCAAATAAACACGAATCATCACACACCTGGATTCCAAATGGCTGATCTCGAATATTCATGTCATCCTTTGCATACCTACAAGAAAATAGAAAAAAAAATAAACAAAAATAATGCAAATTCTGTAAGAGTGTTGGACAATGTGTCAAAACTGTGTACAAATGTCAACTACTTACTTCTCTCGAGGAGCCACCTTCTGCCACTCAAATTTGTACTCTTCTTCCCCCTCCTAAACAACAGAAACATTTTCATTAGAATTCAAATATGTAAATGTTTCTTGCTGAAAAGTAAGTAAGAATTGTAAAGATTTTCTCAACTTTACCTCTTTCTGTTCCTCTTTGGGAAAGAAGGTGGTTATGAAGAAAAAAGCACAAATATTCAAAAGTTAATATGTTGTTTTTTTAATAGTCAAGTGTTTGGAACTGGAAATAATATATAATGGGGATTAGGGATGCTTGGGTGATACAACCATTTACCTTTGGATGCCCCAGGTGGAGCCTCGTACATGAAATTGAGGCCATTTTTAACACGATCATCCCCCATCAACAGCCTAGAGGTTAAAAATCAAATTGTTGAAATTCATGACATTGTTAATTGTGTTCATCAACATTTACAACATATGAAATTGGAGAACTCCAGAAATGTCTAATGAATCTAAAGCTAATGAAAACCTTTCCATTTACTTAGTAAAACTTTTAGTATGTATCTGTAAAACAAAAATACATTTATTTAAAACTAATCTGATATTAAGGCAGCAGTTTTTTATGAGGTACAAGATATTGTGCATATTTATCTAACCTGTTGTTGTACGTGTCCTGCTCTTTCAGGTATGCTTGCATAAGTTCTTCTTGCTTTTTCTTCTCGAAAGTCAGTTTCTGCTCCGCTATCCATACCTGGAATATAAAAAGTGAAGGAGTACAGCATACATTCACCATACTACTTCATGAATTTCCAGCAAATTGTTGGGGTCTGCTTACTTGACTGAGAAACAAATAGTAGATTAAGTAACTACAGGGATGTTCAATCTTAGGTGCAATGAGCATCTACTGCCCTTACTTTGTACTAGAACCGAGACAGTTGAAAATTTGCTGCTTTTGTTCTGCTTTATATTAATATACTTATATTTTATAGAACAACTCATTATTCATGGGGGTAACAGACACATTCCTCAATAAAGAGCAATTACTGTCAGTTGTTGCCATAAAATATATTACTGAAAAAAGCATATAGGCCTTTTGGTGATTCATTTCATTTAACGTTGAAAAAAATGTAAGGTGTACAAATAATACACAAACTGGTAACTGGTATGTACCAGAGAGGTCTCAGAGTGTTTCACCTGCAGGTCGTGGCTGTGCACAATTAAAAGGACAACAACTGCTACTACATGTGGACACAACACACATACTGCGACTACCGTGTAGTAATCTCATTAACAATCAGCAACATTTTAAAAGCAAAAGTAGTTTGTGCAGGGCAAAAATATTAAGACAAAACGTCATTTAATTAGTAATACTTACTCCACCAATTAACGTAATGGTATAAGATCTCTCTCATATAAATACTATGTGCGCAGTGACTTCAGCATATTACATGTGGACATGAGTGATCAGACTTAGTTTCTAAATACTTATATTAAACAAACTGCGATTAAAAACTATGATGTAAGTTAACGTTACTGCTCAGAATATCTCCCCAATGTGGCTCATGTTAGCTAGTAGCATGCTAGCACGAGCAATACACAGTAAGCATACCTCGTTAGCTAGTAGGCTAACCTGCTATTCTGTACCGTCAAGCACTAACGTTGTCTGTAGCCATAACTCACCTTTTTTATATTTGACTTCGACGCAGGATGAAAATCTTTCTTGCACATGAAATTTGCAAACGACTTCCCCATGGCTAATAAGCTAGGGCGTTGGCTATACTGAAAACGTAACGTTGACTTTAGCTAGCAGATTTGTTAGTGTAGCTTCCTCCGTTTGTAAACAATTCTGTCTGTATGAAGCCTGTTCTACATTGGTTACACAGAGGTCGCTGAAGTACAGATGTAGCGTTGGTTTAGCTTTAAAATTTAATGACTGGATGGAAGAAAATTACTTGACAATAAGTCATAAATAAAATAATAATAATGTGAATATGTGGTGACTTCAATATAGATTTGTTAAATCCTAACAAGCACACAGGAACTGAGGAGTTTATTAGCACAATATATAGATGCAGTTTATACCCAAAAATTACAAAACCAAGTAGAGTAACAACCCAGCATGCAACATTAATGGATAATATATTTACCAATGTTATTGACAGCAAAATGACAAGTGGATTACTTATAAATGATATTAGTGACCTGTATTTGTGGTTTATGAGGGCCAGTATAGAAAAGAGAGGCCAAAAACAAATCTTTTCTATAGGAGGGTGACGAATGAACATGCTATAAGGAGGCTAAAAGAGGATTTTATGGGGCAAAACTGGGAAGCAGTTTACAGAGAGGAAGACTTAGATAAAGCATATGAGCAATTTTTAAATATATTTAAGAAAGTATATGACAGGAACTGTCCTCGTAAGCAGTATAAAAACAAAAGGAATTACAGTGGGAAACCATGGATGAGTAAGGGATTACAGAATGTATGTAAAAAGAAGAATGCGTTATATAAGGAATTCATAAAGGACAGATCAAAGAAGGCGGAAGAAAAATATAAGTCATATAAGAACAAATTAATTGAGATTTTGAGGAGATGTAAGAAACTATATTACTCTAAAGTATTAGAGGATAATA